CCGTTACTGGGACAGCTCGGAGGCTTGTCTGGGACTGGATTCCCGCAGAGGAATTCCGTCAGTTGGGAGGTGGGAGGGTTTGTTTTCCACGCAGCCCCCGGGTAGGAAAGCGCCCCGGTCATGGTTTTCACGGCCTGGGGTGGAAACGGTTCCTGTCGTCCCATCTGTGCACCACGTGTGTTCCGAGGTTTCTGTACTTTCGTGTCCTCATCCCAAGCTGCATTTCCGGTGTGGATAAAGCAGCCCTCCCTGCGGACTCTGAAATCAGAAATGACCAAAAATCGCCTTTCTGAGCATCGCGAGGAGCCACGCGTGGAGGGTCCACCCAGTGAAATGCTGAGCGATAGTGCCTAACGTGACCTCCAGGTTTTTCTTTTAAATGCCTCCCCCCTTTTTTTAAACTTTATTTGAAGCGAGTCAGAGAGACAATCTTTTATCCGATGTTTCACTTCCCAAATGCTTACAACAGCAGAGGATGGGCCAGGCCACAGGCAGCAGCTGGGAACTGAATCCAGGTGTCTCACCTGGGTGGGGGAGGCCCAAACACTTCAGCCGTCACCTGCTGCCTCCCAGGCTGCAGTTAGCTGGGAGCTGGGGTCAGGGGCTGGGGCTTAGACTGGGGACTCCGATGTGGGATGCTAGAGCGGCACCAGCCGTGTGCAAATACCCTCCCCCAAAATAGAGAGCACCCGAGCTTATCTCGATAGTTTATCTCGATAGAAGCAGGCAGTAGGCAGCAGACAAAGCATTCTCGGGCCGTGCTGCTGCGAGTTTGGGGTTGATGGTGAGTAGTGACCTCCTGCCTCAGCTTCCCTGTGACAGCAGAAACCGCAGTTTAAACAATTAGCTCAATTACAGCTTAGAGCCGCCATTAACGTGAAGCAGACTCATGCCACCATCAGCTCTGCCCAGAGGGGCGCGTTGCTAAGAGGAAGCGCATTGGAACTAGGCATGGACAGTGGCGAGTTTTTCTACAGAAGCCGAGTGTTTGCAAGTCGCAGAATGAGCGGGAGCGTGGGCGACAGCGCGTGTGTCATCCCAGAGACCCTGTGCCCAGTGCCTGTCCCAGTGCCGTGGCTCTGCTGGCTTGGTGTCCTGTGCTGTGGGGAGTGGGGTGCACCACGTGGTGGATGACGCAGGAGCCAGCCGGGGTCCATGGCTGAGGGCCACAGGGACAGCTCCAGGCAGGATACAGTGGATGTAGAAGGAGGGCTGGGGCCCAGGAGCAAGTCTTGGCCCCAAACGTCGACTTAGACCAGACATAGCTGCAGCCAGGGCTCGTGAGGGAGTGAGGAGGTGAGGATGGCTCTGGGTATTGGGGAAGGGGTGTGAGTCGAGTTTCCCATTGGAACTGTGGTTGGCTCTGAGGGGTCTCTGGGATGCCCTGGAGAAACAGAGGCAGGAAACGTCTAGTGGTAGTGAGTGGTATAGAAGGTTCTAGAACTGTGCTCTTTGGAGCCTCTGGGGGAGGTGATGGCCGCTGGCCACGCAGACAGTCCTCAGGTACCCTGTGTGGAACTGGAGTCAGCACGGGACCCAGGACAGTGAGGGAGTCTCGGCACCGTGCCGGCTCCTACACCAAGACCAGGGAGGGGTTTGTGTCTTTTTTTTTTTTTTTTTAATTTCTTTAATTATTTGAAAGGCAAAGTTGCAGAGAGAGAGAGAGAGAGAGAGAAATTGATCTTCCATCCGCTGGTTCAGTCCTCAGATGGCTGCAACAGCCAGGGCTGGGCCAGGCCCAAGCCAGGAGCCAGGAGCTTCATCCGAGTCTGGCACCTGGGTGCAGGTTCCGTCCTCTGCTGCTTTGCCAGGCGCATTAGCAGGGAGCTGGACTGGAAGAGGAGCAGCCGGGAGGCAGTTAGGTTTTTCTCCTCTCGAGTGATGTTTTGTCCCTTTGCAAACAGCCAGCTCCCCATCGACTTTTCCCATCACATCACTGATTATCATTGGGCTGATTTTAAAAAAACTCCATTCCCTGTTCTTGCATGAGTGGCGTTGTTCTGAAAACACAGGCGCACAGTCACCACCGTCTTCAGGGTGTCCTGCGCCACGCCTGTTTCCTCAGCAAGGTGTTGGTACCCTGGTCACCACCAACGGCACTGTCAGACCGGGTCCTCTTGCCGTGGTGGCCCCTGGCCCGCGACACAGCGTTGCACTTCTAGCCCTCATATCTCGTGGACATCTGAGGGTTCTGCTGGCACGCCTCCCTCTGCGGCCTCCTGGAGTCTCACCGGCTCGGACGTCTGAGCAGCGTGTGAGACGGTCTGGTCCCGGGCTCCAAGTGCAGATCTGTCTGCCGCTGCAGTGAGACCTGGTTTCTTCCTTTCCTTCCTTCCTCCCCGCTTGCTCTGGTCTCCTGGTTACCACTTCCTCTGCTAGGAGCAGGCCAGGCCCTAGGCAGTGGTGACACCTTCTGGGCTCGTGGTCCTGTCCATCACAGTCCCTGCAGCTGCAGAGACCAGAAATGGGTGGAGTTTGTCCGGTAGGAAGTGCTGGCCGCTGAGGTTGAATTCTGCTGTTGAGTCTTTTTTTTTTTTTTTTGGACAGGCAGAGTGGACAGTTGAGAGAGAGAGAGAGAGAAAGGTCTTCCTTTTGCCGTTGGTTCACCCTCTAATGGCCGCCACGGCCGGTGCGCTGTGGCTGGTGCAGCGTGCTGATCCGAAGGCAGGAGCCAGGTGCTTCTCCTGGTCTCCCATGGGGTGCAGGGCCCAAGCACTTGGGCCATCCTCCACTGCCCTCCCGGGCCACAGCAGAGAGCTGGCCTGGAAGAGGGGTAACCGGGACAGAATCTGGTGCCCCGACCGGGACTAGAACCTGGTGTGCCGGCGCCGCTAGGTGGAGGATTAGCCTATTGAGCCACAGCGCCGGCCTGCTGTTGAGTCTTAGAGGGACGACTTTATTTCATGCAGAAGCGTGCTCCGTTTCATGTGTGAGTTTGTGGTTGCAGGTGGCGGAGTGCGTGTTGCGTGTGAGACTCCGGAGAGGGGTCCCGGACTGTCAGTCTCTCTCCAGGTGTAGAAGGAGGAGGAGACGGCACCCTGGGCCACAGCTCAGGACTGTACCACACAGCCCTGCTGAGTTGCACGTTTGTGGTTTCTGTGTGGACCGAGCATCCTTACTCTGATTATCTGAAATCTGAAATCCCCCACCCCCCCCAAAAAAAAACAAAACACCACAAACAAAGCTTTGATTTCAAGTTTAGGTGCCATGGTGGAAAATTCCACGTGGGACCTCAGGTGACAGGTTATACTCAAAATTCCAGATGCATGAACACTATTATAGGAAATCACCTTCAGGTATGTGTATAATGTGTACATTTAAAGTTTTTGGAAAACTGGGATTTAAAGATAAGTTTGTTGCAAAATAATTTTGCAGCCCATGCTTTTTTTTTTTTTTTCCCCCAGATTTACTTATTTACTTGAAAGTCAGAGTTACACAAGGGGGAGAGAGGGAGAGAGGGAGAGAGGTCTTCCATCCGCTGGTTCACTCTCCAATTGGCTGCAATGGCCAGAGCTGTGCTGATCTGAAGCCAGCTTTTTCCTGGTCTCCCACATGGGTGCAGGGCCCAAGGACTTGGGCCATCCTCTGCTGCTTTCCCAGGCCATAGCAGAGAGCTGGATGGGAAGTGGAGCAGCCGGGACTAGAACCAGCGCCCTTATGGGATGCCAGCACTGCAGGTGGCAGCTTTACCCGCTACACCATAGCACTGGCCCCATGGAGGCTGAGCTGAAGACGCTGCCTCCCCAGCAGACTCTGACCTTCCCATTTCTTTTCTGAAGTTGACAGCTCAAAAGCCAAACCATGTTGTCATTTATTTTTTAATTTAAAAATTTGTGATCATTTGAAAATTAGAGAGGGAAATAGAGAAAGGAGGACACAGATCTTCCGTGGCCTGGTTCATCCGTGAATGTCCGCAGTGGACAGAGTTGGGCCAGGTTGAAGCCAGGAGCCTGGAACTCAGCCCAGGTCTCCTAGGTGGGTGACAGGGACCCGAGTACTGCAGCCGTCACCTGTCTTCCCTGTGTGCAATGGCAGACGCTGGATGGGAGGGAGCCAGGATGTGAGCCCAGGGACTTGATGTGGGATGTCTGTGTCCCTGTGGTGTTTCAGCTGCTGTGCCAGCTGCCCACTCCTGTTACAACTTATTATTTGACAGAGGCATCCGGTAGCATCTGGTTGTCCTGATGTCACCTGTGGCGGCCGTGTCAGAGTGAAGGTGCTGTGTGTTACCTCCCAAATCCGAGGTCACGGCTCTCATGCGTGTTACCTCCCAAATCCGAGGTCCACGGCTCTCATGCGTGTGACCTCCCAAATCCGAGGTCACGGCTCTCATGTGTGTGACCTCCCAAATCCGAGGTCACGGCTCTCATGCGTGTGACCTCCCAAATCCGAGGGCACGGCTCTCATGCGTGTTACCTCCCAAATCCGAGGTCCACGGCTCTCATCTTGGGATTGAGTGACCGCTCATGGGCAGCTGGTGAGGTGGGTCAGAGATGACCTGGAGGTTCTCACGTCTTTACCCAGCGTCCCAACACGACAGGGATCCACACAGGAACAGATTTATCAGTCTTAGTGTTTTCAGCATTTTTGGTGAATTGCGGGAGATATTTCACGGGACGATATCAGAACAAAGGAAACAGAAAACTCCGTGACTGAGAGAGTGAAATCCTGTGTAGGAACATTTTTCGCTTTTTTGGTGCACATGCTTGTCCTGGGGAGGCCGACTCAGTTGCCAAGTGCAGCGTGTAGCCTGTGTGTGTGTGTGTGTGTGTGTGTGTGTGTGTGTGGTCCCCATGCGCACCTGCTGCAGCCAGCAGCCTCCCCAGGGCCTGCGTTTCTGAGGTCTCGCGTGGTGGGGTGTCCTCAGCCAGCTGTGTATGAGTTAGTCACCATGTCTTTAATATGGAGAATCATTTTTCTGCTCCTTTTGAACGCCCGAGCTGATGTGCAAGGTCTGGCTGTCTTTCTCACAAGACGTCTTTTTGTCTCCTCTCGAACAGAAAGACGAGAACTACCGGAGCCTGCCGCGGGACACGAGCAGCTGGTCCCAGTTCCAGAGGGACAACGCACGGTCATCTCTGAGCGCCAGCCACCCGCTGGTGGACAAGTGGTTGGAGAAGCAAGAACAGGTAACGCGAAGCAGCCCTGCGCCTCAGCACACCCAAGGGTGCTGCTCCGGTCACTCCAGGGGCTGCGTCCGTGCCAGGTTCTAGGTCAGAGTCCAGCTGGCAGACCCGACTCTCTGTCTCTTTTTGTTTTTTTCCAAAGAGTTTATTTTAGAGGTAGAGTTAGAGACAGTGAGAGGGAGAGAGAGAGGGGAAGAAAGAGAGAGAGAGAGGTCTTTTATCTACTCGTTCAACCCCCAGGATGGCTGCAATGGCTGGAGCTGAGCTGATCTGGAGCCAGCAGCCTTTTCCGGGTCTCCCACACAGGTGCAGGGGCCCAGGCACTGGAGCCATCTTCCAATGCTTTCCCAGGCCATAGCAGAGAGCTGGATTGGAAGAGGGGCACCCGGGACTAGAACTGGTGCCCATGTGGGATGCTGGTGCTGCAGGTGGAGGGTTAACCTGCTGTGCCACAGCGCCGGCCCCGGAGTGGGTCTCTTGTGAACAGCCAGCACATGCTTGCTCTTGACCCTGACCCCACCCCTCAGACCTCAGGGCCTGTGGCCTTGCTGAGTAACGCTTAAGGAACCCCCATGGTGCTTCTCTTCTCCCAGAGACAGTAGCTCAGTGACTGAGTTTGCAAAACCGGGGCCCATGTGGGATGCCCACGTCCCAAGAGGCGGCTTAGCCCGCGACCCTGCAATGCCAGCCCCTGGGGTTTTAAAAATAGGAACAGAGCCTCTGCCTTGCTGGCTGGGGTCAGCAGGGTGGAAGAGGTGCCTTGTAGATTGGAGACATCAACAGAGTTCTAGATTTTTCTGTCCCTGTAGTGGGTTTGTTCTTCCTTGGATTCCTCTCAGAGTGCTTCTCTCTCAGCTGCTCTGCCTGGGGGAACAGCAGGAGGGGTGGAGGGCACACAGTGGGGTGGGGGCTTTGAGTCTCGTCCCCTGGTTCAAAGCCACATGGAGCATTACTTTGACAACGAAAGCGGGGTGGTAAATATCATTAGAAGCTGAACCGAAGCCCGAGTCGCCTTGGAGGCAGCCATAGCCTGCTCAGAGCCATCTCGTGGGGCGGGGGCACACTTTGCTGAAGCCAGTCTTTCCTGGGAGATCCTGGAGGGAGACGGTTCCCTGTTGTGTCTGTCCACGAGGTGTCTGAGTTGTGACCCTGAGACCCCCAACTCCGTGTGGATGTCTGACCGTGTGGTCAGACGTCGGCATGCCTTTGAGCCCGGCCCCCTTCCTGACTCTGAGTAGACTGTCGGTTAACGTGGGCGTTCCCCGCCCCTGTTCTTTCGTCCCACACTTTGCTGCAGCTAATAAACTCGAGGAGAGAGGAGGCAGGGACTCCGGCACACGAAAGGGAAGCAGCAGCTAATTGGGGGCCTGCCACTTTCACTGCCGACTCCTGCTGAGCGGACCTGAGCCCAATTAACAGAAGTGGCAGCGCGGTGCCAAGAACATTCCGGCTGCCGCGTGGGCTCCGAGATGGGGAGTGGCTGCCTGGCCTCTAGAGAGAGACCCCTGCTCTAGGGTTCTCTCCTGTCTCAAGTCCCCTGATGTGTTGGAGGGACGAGGCAGCCGGGGTGGCGTGGGCCGTCCTGAGTGCTCGGCGATGGTGACGCCGAGTGTGCCGTGCCTCCCCCAGCCGGAAGGACTTGTGCAGGTTAGGGCTCAGCGAGAAACACACCTGCTGCTTCACTCCCTGGGGCTGCATCAGCCCAAAGGCAGGAGCCGGGGGCTCCATCCGGGCCTCCCTCCCACGAGGGACCCAAGTGCTTGCGCAGCCGTCACCACCACTCCTGAAGTCTGCCTTTGCAGGGCGCCGGCGCTGGGAGAAGTGGGACGCGGTGAGATGTGGGCTGCCCCGCCGCCCGGCCTTGCGCTCACCGCCCCTGCTCCTGCGTGTCCCTGTCGCCCGCTCCAGCCCCGGTGCTGCGCGCTGTGTGGTTTTGTGCGTGGCGTTGGGTTCCTGATCTCTGGTCATGTCGTCTTCCTCAGTGAGGGCGCTGGCACGGAATGGTGCCTGCCGCTGTGCCAGCACGTGCTCACTGATTCCTAGGCGTTCAAATAAAGGAGGTGGCCCAGTGTTGACGGCAAGACCATGCTGGATCAGGCGTCTCGGTTACCTTATTCTTAAGGAAAAGGAGAGCCAAATGGTTTGATTATTATGCTACTTTTAAAAAAAAAAATTTATTTGGAAATCAGAGAGCAAGAGAGAGATCTTCTATCCGCTGAGTCACTCCCCAAATGGCTGTCTTCATTTATTTATTCGGGCTGAATCCAGGAGCCGGAGCTTCACCCAGGTCTCCCGTGTGGTGCAGGCCATCTTCTGCTTTCCCAGGGGCATTAGCAGGATGTGGAGTCCGAAGAGGAGCAGCTGGGACTTGAACCCGCGCCCACAGGGGATGCTGGCATTGCAGGCAGTGGCTTTACCCGCTACACCACAGCGCCTGCCCCTGCTCTGACACTTTTTAAACTCTTGATGCTGATTTGCAGTAATGTCGCTGACATCCTCCATGAGTGATGCCTCTGGGACTTTGTTGTAGCCTCTTCCGTGTAATTTAATTGAGTCCAAATCTTTGAGGATCCCAGGTAGAGGAGAACCCAGTGAAGCGGGTTATCTGGGGTGTACCAGGTCGGGGTGAGGTGCGTGGTTATGTGTCTCCCTGGGTCTCCCCGGGCCATCCACCCGGCTGTGGCGCCAGGCCTGGCCTCTGTGGCCTTGGTGTTGGGAAGAGATAGCGCTCCAAGTGGACCCAGCTCTGGCTCCCGTCTGCACTCAGCTCGTCCCGGTGGGTCCCCGTGTGGGCGAAATTCCCTCTTCTTTCCCGTGTGCTCACTCAGCTGTGCTAAGCACAAAAGGAGAAAAATCTCCCCGAGCTAGCACGCTCCACACTACACACTGAAATTGGTTTCCGGAGTGTGGGGCAATTGTTCTGTCTTAATTAGGAAATTAGGAGGTGGCCAGCCCAGAAATCTGATTAGCCAGCTGTAGGCGGGTCAGCGAGACGACCCAAGGGTCACAGCTCGGACAGGCTGGAGAGCTGTTGCTGCTGGGTGTGGGCACAGCCGGGGTCGTGCCATCCGCTGTCCTAAGGAGACCAACCGCAGGCCACGGTGATGTCACATGTCAGCTGCAAGGGTGTGTGTTTGGTGGCTTTTATTTTTCCCTTTGCCAGCAGTGTCCAATGCACACTCAATAACCAAATGGCTTTTCCATTTTGCTGGTTTAAAAATCTGCATCCCCTGCCTCAACATTCTAAAATTAATATTTGTTTTTTGTGCTGCTTTCCGATTGATGTGCTTTTACAAAATAGAAGGAGACATAATCGCGTTTATCCTTGACAGCCGCGAAGGTGGATACTAACCACATCGAGGTTGGTTTAAAATTACGTTTACATTTCCTAAATGCCAGAAATTTTATTTCATATCTGAAATCTGTCTTGTTCACAAGAACACCAAAAAGGAGACCGAAGCACCCTTCCAAGAGAGTTGTCTTGTCCTGGGCTGTGTCAGTGCCAGGAGCAAGGGGCTTTGTGGGGCTTTGACTGAAGCAGCGCAGTGCTGTCCCGCCCTGTGTGAAAACAGCTTCCTCACGTGGGGAGCAGAGCCACCCTCGGGAGCCTGTGCCACTTTCTGTGTTCTGGGAGCTCTGCATGTTTGCCAGTTTTTAGTTTCAAGAACTGTGGACTAGAGGGCTGGCGCTGTAGTGTAGTGGGTAAAGCCTCCACCTGCAGTGCCGGCATCCCATATGGGTGCCAGTTTGAGTCCCGGCCGTTCCACTTCTGATCCAGCTCTCTGCTATGGCTTGGGAAAGCAGTGGAAGATGACCCAAGTCCTTGGGTCCCTGCACCCACATGGGAGACCCAGAGGAGGCTCCTGGCTCCTGGCTTCAGATTGGCGCAGCTCCGGCCATTGCAGCCACTTGGGGAGTGAACCAGCGGATTGAAGACCTCTCTCTGTCTCTGCCTCTGCCTCTCCTCTCTCTGTGTAACTCTGACTTTCAAATAAATATAAAATAAATCTTGCTTAAAAAAAAAAAAAAGCACTGTGGACCAGAAGCTTCGATGGAGAACACGCCTGGTGGGTCAGGGTCCTGGTGAGTGTTCTTTTGAGAAAGATGGATTGAACTGCTTCTGGGACTCCCACGTGGGCGCAGGGACCCGAGGATTGGGGCCATCTTTTGCTTTCCCATGCACGTCCGCAGGGATCTGGATGGAAAGCAGAGCAGCTGGGTGTTGAACCAGCACCTGTATGGGATGCCAGATCGTAGGCAGAGGCTTAACCTGCATGCCGCAATGCCAGCCCCAACGTTTATTATTTATTTGAAAAAGAGGCAGAGAGACAGAGCTGTCTCGTCTGCTGGTTCCCTCCCCCACGTTCTCCGACAGCCAGGGCGGGGCCAAGCTGAAGGTAGGAGCTGGGAGCTCCATCTGGGTCTCCCCCCGTGGGAGCCAGGGGCCCGGAACGTGGGCCACCACCGCCGTCTCCCAAGGTGTGTGTCGGCAGGAAGCTGCCATCGGGAGTGGAGCCCGGACTGCAGCAGGCACTGCAGTATGGGTCGTGGGCATCCCGAGTGGAGTTCCTGCCACAGCCCCACGTGCTGGCTCCTGGGTGCCCTGCTGTCCTGAGAGCCAGCTGCCCGTACACTCCCCGCTGTGTGACTGACATCAGAAAACACCTGGAGGCTGCGTTGGGACCCAGTGCCTAGGACGAGTGGGCCCTGTTGCAGCTTATTTGCTGCATGCTAGGTACGTACACCCTGCCAACACCTTGCTGTCTACAGAATGGGGGAGACACGTGCAGTACCACGTGTTAGATGGGGTGAAGGTAGGAGATGCAGCCCAGGTTTAAATGCAAGCCTGGGGCTGGTGCTGTGGTCCAGCAGATTAAGCCGCTGGCTGCAGTGCCGGCATCCCATATGGGCGCCAGTTCGAGTCCTGGCTGCTCCACTTCTGATCCAGCTCCCTGCTAATGGCCTGGGAAAGCAGAAGAAGGTGGCCCAAGTGCATGGGCCCCAGCACCCACGTGGGAGACCTGGGTAGAGCTCCTGGCTCCTCAATTTGGCCCAGCCCAGCTCTGGCTGTTGTGGCCATTTTGGAGGTGACCCAGCAGATGATGGAGACGGCCTCTCTCTGTAACTCTGCCTTTCAAATAATAAATAAAATCTTGAAAAAGAAATGCAAGCCCTGTGTCTGGTGCGTCGCAGACACTCCCTGCTGTCTTTCCTTTGGGAGTTTAATGGTTAAACCTCAGCCACTCTCCCCGTGATTCTTTTAAGTCCTCTCTGGCTCCTTCCTGAGATGTCTCTGTCTGCTTCCTCGCCCAGTTTTCGCAAGGCTGGAAGCAGGGTCGCGGTGAGGTCTGCCGAGTGTCTCGGGAGGGTCGTGTCCGCCCGTCAGGCGCTGTGTCGGCTTCCCGAGCTGTGTGGCGCAGGAGGGCTGCTTGTCCCTCTCTCTTCCTCCCTTGTGCCGGCCACGCTGATTGCTTCTTGGGCCTGCGCAGCTGAGAGCCGGCAAGCAGCAGGGAGGTGACTCTGAGCTGAGAGTGGCGTGTGGGTCAGCCTTCGTGGGGAGCCCCGTGGCTGGCGGTCTATCCTGTGAATCTGGCCATGGAGAGCTTGCGCCCTGTCAGCTTGGACCCTCGGCTGCCTCTTCACACCCTCACCGCAGACGCCCGACGAGAAGAATCCGTGCTGGGTGCTCCGCGTCCCTTGGTTCCCAGCCCTGTGCGTGCCACTTGCTCTCAACATCCTGTCCTTCGTCCCCCAGGTCTGCAGACACTGGGGCTGCGACCCTCGCATGGTCCCTGGTGAGGAGGTTGCCTGAGCGTGTAGCCTGCGGTGCGTCGCTCTCCCTGCAGCCCGCCTTGTGCAAACTGGATCAGCCCGAAGCCACTTTGAGTCTGGGGGTTTTGTGAGTGGAGAGGTGTTGCTGTCACCAGCCCTGTTCCCGATGCCCCAGCTACCTTCACCGCCACTGTTGCAGTGGGCCTGACACGTGGACCCTTTCACCCAGAGTTACCTGGTCTTTTGTCCCTCTGAGGCCCGGTACTTGGGGCCTGTAGTAATTCAAAGTTTCTCTCTGTGTGAGCCATTTTACCCTTTTCCCTTGTGTTTTGTTCTTTTTTTTTTTTTTTTGAAAGATTTATTCGCAAGTCAGAGTTACAGAGAGGGAGAGGCAGAGAGAGAGAACCTTCTTCTGTCTGCTGGTTTTATCTGGCGTTTGTAGCCTAGAAAGCAGAGCCACGGAGTTCCACGCACACACACACTGTGGGTAAATATGGGCTAATCGTGGTCTCCCAGTGTGAAGATTCTGCCACTGTGTTTCAGGCTCACGGGTGATGGGATCGTCCCTGTTTTTATGTCCATCCATTACCAGTTGTACCTGTATTTTAGCGCCTTTCTTCAGAGCAGCTTTTCTTTTCTTTTCTTTTTTTTTTTCAAACGTTCTTTAAGTTTTATTCAACAGTTAGTAAATTCTGCTCTGTATAAACTAGATACTGGAGATTCAGAAGTAAGTACAATTTTTCTTTCTTGCTGGAAAGCTGGAGAAATTGTACTATAAGAGAAGAAAAGGGGCCATCGCTGTGGCATAGCAGGTAAAGCCTCCACCTGCAGTGCTGGCATCCCATATGGGTGCCAGTTCGAGCCCCGGCTGCTCCACTTCCAATCCAGCTCTCTGCTATGATCTGGGAAAGCAGTAGAAGATGGCCCAAATCCTTGGACCCCTGCACCCACATGGGAGACCTGGAGGACGCTCCTGGCTCCTGGCTCCTGGCTCCTGGCTCCGGATTGGTGCAGCTCCAGCTATTGCGGCCAACTGGGGAGTGAACCAGCAGATGTAAGACCTCTCTGTTTCTCTGCCTCTCCTCCTCTCTGTGTGCAACTCTTACTTTCAAGCAAGATAAAAAATAAATCTTTAAAAAAAGAGAAAAGAAAAGCCAGGGATTTTCCATGCACTGAACGAGCCCCTAACGTGGTGGAGGTTGAATTACATCGCGTGGCCTCCGGCGGGCCGAGGCTGTTTGTACCGTGAGACACCTCGTGCTGTGCTCTTAGTATTTTCCCCATCCTCCGGTATTCTGTAGACTTACGTGAGTTCATAAAGGATTTTCTGTGACAACTCGGAGTGCTCCCAAGAAGCAGCCAGAAGTAGGTGTAGAGTGAAGTGGGTGACCTGGAGGTCGCTGTGACCTGTGGGCAGGTCCGTGCGTGGTCTGAGCAGCGCAGGGCAAGCTCGTCACTCTGTATCCTGAGGATGCTCTCCCAGGTCTTGACCAGTGGCGTCTTCTGGGTCAGCCCTCACGTCTCCTGCTGTCCCAGGTCCTTGGGCTGACCAGTGGCGTCTTCTGGGTCAGCCCTCGCGCCTCCTGCTGTCCCAGGTCCTTGGGCTGACCAGTGGCGTCTTCCAGGTCAACCATCGTACCTCCTGCTGTCCCAGGTCCTTGGGCTGACCAGTGGCGTCTTCTGGGTCAGCCCTTGCGCCTCCTGCTGTCCCAGGTCCTTGGGCTGACCAGTGGCATCTTCCGGGTCAGCCCTCACACCTCCTATGCCTTCTCCATGTGGCTCTGACCCCTGAGGATTCCTGTCCTAAACCCACTCGTTCCTCCTTCCCACGCCCACCTTGCAGGCCGCTGTCTTGGGAACCTGGGCCCAGCATTGTCCATCTCTCTTCTGAGGGTGGGCGGTGTGTGGGGTGACCCTGCTTTGACCCCTTGGAGGAGCACTGAGTAGGGACCTCAGCCCATGGCTGAGGTCACCGCCGGCAGGCAGGGGTGTCCTCCAGGGAGCGACTTCGCTGAGAGATGCTGGCCTTCCGAGCCTGGTAGCCGGCTTTGCGCCTCCCTCTGATGGTGTGTCTCGGAGGGTGGTGAGGATCAGGCGAGGTCCCTCCTGCTCGCTCGGATGCACCTGTCAGCAGTGGCCAGTGCCTGTTGTGGTTCCTCTTCCCACACTGACCCACACGCCGCTGGTTCCCACGCCGGCCCCGGGTTCTCCCGGTCCGGTCCGTGAGTCTCAGCACCTTTGTGCCGCTGTAGCCTGAGGGCGTCTTCCCTGGCACCTGCCTGCTCCCGCCCGCCGAGGAGTGTGGCGTCTCACTTTCCTGTTCTGGTGCCGACCACCGTTCCTTTTAATTACCTGTCTTTCTCTTTAATGAGGACTGGGCCCATGTGCAAACCTAGGGTTTTCCCTGTGGCTTTGTTCTCTTCCACACGTGTACTCCAGGCTCCTGTGGGCTGCGTCTGCCGTTGTCACCAGCTCTCTGCATGGAATTTGTTTGCATAAAGAACGTTCTTCTTGTAAAACAATTTTGTAGCCAGCGTTTTGATTAAAAATATCTTCTTCCATGGGTTGTTCCAAGAAGTTCTTCTAGATTAAATTGCAGAAACTTGGAGGGGAGGGCAAGAAATGCTAGTTTGATTATTATCAGCAGAAACCTAGGCTTTTGGGCTTACTCATAGTTGAAGTCCCTGGAGGGGCTAATTTGCCTGAGAACTTTGTATTTTAATCATAAACAGACCGAATGCGGTAATACTTTCATAAACTTTTGGCTGCGACTTTGGTATTAATGTCCTGAACTCTTAGAAAGAAAAACATATTTCTGTAGGTTGGCCAAGAGAAATAGGTCCCCAATTCAAATAAAAATAATGCATTTGTTATTTTAAAGGGATTTTTCCATCGAGCGGTGTGTCACACTTTTTGCTAATTTAGTTGTCTAATATTGCACATGGCTCAGTTCCTTGCTGTATTTTCTGCAGCCCAGTATGACGGCTATTTGGATTTTAAATGTTTTGCTTTGACTTTAGGGTAAGTTATGATAGATTATACGTTATTTAATGTAACCGTTACCTTATTCCTTTTGTTGTGGATTTTTTTTACAGCAATCTCTCAGCTGTCAAATATGTTAGAAAAATTTTTTTTGTTTATTTTTCTTTTATTTGAAAGAGAGAGGGACTTGAGAGACAGAGTCTAGTCTGCAGCAGCTGGGGCTGGGTCAGGCTGAAGCTGGGAACCAGGAGTCCATCCAGGTGTCCCACGTGGGTGACAGGGACCCAAGGACAGAGCTGTTGGTTCCTAGGGTGTGCGTTAGCAGGAGGCGGGACCCAAGCCGAGCTGGGGCCTGAGCCGTGGCGCTCTGGTGTGGAATGCGGCTGCCCACACTGCGCAAGCACCTGGCTCTGTTGTGGGTTTCCATGGAAGGATGAGTACTTTGACCAACAGGTGTGTGCAGAGTGTTAAAGCATGCGTTTCTGAGGGAGGTGCACCTGGCTCTGTGAGGTTTGCGAATGTGCTTTCTTTAGTGTGTGCCATCAGCTCATACGTGCTGTGGCGGCGCTGGGCTCCGTGGCCCCGACCCCTCTGACATCTGGGCTCCGCGGCCCCCGGCCCCTCTGACATCTGGGCTCCGCGGCCCCCGGCCCCTCTGACATCTGGGCTCCGAGGCCCCTGGCCCCCGGCCCCTCTGACATTCTCCCCTCTGGCGTTGCTGGCAGCAGTGCCAGCCCTCAGTGCCAGATGGCAACTCCGCGCTCCTCCCTGTGAATTTCCCTTTGGCCGCACTGCTGCTCCCACGCCTGTAGCACCGGCTTGCTCTGGGCGCTGGCCAGTCCCTCTGCCTGGCGTCTGCCTGCTCCCTGAGAGCCGAGCTGGGCAGAGGTGAAGTCCCCACTCCCCTCAGCCCTGAGTTCCCTTAGTACCTGCTCTGGGTCTGTCTGCCCGTGGGGCTGGGGCTGGGCACAGCTTGCCCGGCACCTGTGCACTTCCCACATGTTTGCTAGGGCTAGAAAGTTCTAGGCTTGTCTAGGACTGTATTTCCTTTAATTTTGCTACATAACTCCCAGGGTTCGAGCTTATTTTCTTCCTTTCTTTATCTGTTGTCTGGTTACTATTTATTTCACCTTTGCACTGGCCTCTCTACACATCTTCCTTTTTTTTTTTTTTTTAATTATTTATTTATTTGAAAGGCAGAGTTACAGAGAAAGCTCGGAAGTGGGGGGAGAGAGAGATCTTCCATGTGCTGGCGCACTCCCCAAATGGACACAACGGCCAGGGCTGGGCCAGGCCAAAGCCAGGAGCCAGGAGCTTCTTCCAGGTCTCCCACGTGGGTGCAGGGGCCCAAATACCTGGGCCGTTTTCAGGCACGTTAGCAGGGACCTGGATCAGAAGTGGAGCAGTGGGGCTTTGAACCAGCTCTGAGATGGGATGCCGGCACGGCAGGTGACTCACCCCATTGCTCCACTGTGCTGGGCCCCACACCTTCCTTCTTTATGGCCTCGTTCTCACTGCACAGCGTTCCTTTGCACTGGGCTGGCGTCCTGTCCGCCTCTGCCATCTGTTCTAAGAAATCGCGTATTGGGATTTACTTAATGCTCTGTGTCTCCCTTTGGGGGAGACACAAGTTAGGAGCATGAAGAGGCTCCCTGCTGTGCCGATTGGGAATTAAACGCCCCGGAGCTGGGGTCCCCTGTTCCCGCACTCCCCTTTCCAGTCTGACTGTTCAGGGCATCCGCTGCCTGCCAGGTCTCCTGTGTTCACAGCACCGCAGGGCACAACCGTGCCTGCCTTTGAGACAAATCCTGGTCTCCTGCCTGGCTTGCGGGTTATTGGTCTGCTGCTTGCTCACAGGCGTCTTGGGTGCTGCTTCTGTGTCAGCCCAGGCTTGAATGGGGCGGCGGCGGCAGAGCTGGGGGCCGTGCAGACCTAGGTGGAACGCTGGATCCTGCTCACTCCCTGGAGACCCGAGGGAGCACCTCTGGACTGCGCAGAAGCAGTCACCTGATGAAAGCTAGTATCCCTGTATCTGGGGATCAAAAAGAACGTGGCAGAGTTTTGAGACGGGGCTGGCGTTGTAGTGCAGTGGGTAGAGCTGCCACCCATGACGCTGGCATCCTATATGGGGGCAGGTTCCATCCAGCTCCCTGCTGGTGGCCTGGAAAAAGCAGCGAAAGATGACCCAGGTCTTTGAGCTCCTGTACCCGTGTGGCTTCAGCCTGGTCCAGGTCCCGCCCCAGCTGTTGGCAGCCATCTGGGGAATGAACCAACTGATGGAGGATCTCTCTCTTCCTGTCTCTCTGTAACTCTGACTTTCAAATGCATACATTAATTTTAATAACACGTTGAGACATTCTAAATCATTTACTTTGATTAATGATGTTGCCACCAAGTGAATTCCGTTGTTTTCCGTGCGCGAGGACATTGGTCAACCCGAGGCAGGTGTGGGTCCTTGTCTTGCAGATGCCCACAGAAGGGCAGGTGGGGGTTGAAGCCCAGCTTAATGAAGAGACTCCACCTGGCGTCTCGGGACAGGGCTGCACTCAGATTGGACTGTTAGGGACAGGGGCAGGGGCCCTGTGGTAACTGTCCTGCCTGTCTGCCATGTCCCTGAGTGAAGGGCTTCCTGGGCCAGCATTCCTAGAATTCCTCCTGGAATGGCATCATGAGCCAGCAGCCCCTTTGGCGCAGCGCAGGTAGGAGTCCCCTGAGCTGCCCACAGGGAGAGACCCACCCCTCCTTGTCCAGCAGGATCAGACCTAGTGCACAGATGCTGCTGTGCCCCCAAGCCCGAATTCTGTATCTCCTCCCGCACCCACCCACTCACAGATCCCCTCTGGGACACCCAGGCTGACACCTGCCAGGCTACCTGGGGGAGGGGCCGCGCCTGTGACTCAGTGTTCTGTAAGCCTGAGTTCCCTGCCTGGGTCACCCGTGCACTGCTGGGAGCCCAGGTTACACTGACCGCGCTCCGCTTCCTACTCGTGATGGCCACGGGGTTTCCACGCGCATGTCGGTCACCCTGTTGCTGCTGCTGCTTAAATGGATAAGCAAGTTAGACCAGGTGTGTTACTGAAGATTCTGTGTTACAAGTTTTTTGTATTTAGAACAAAGGTCAGGGCTGCTGTTGTGTTGTAGCAGGTTAAGCTGCCGCCTATAATGCTGGTATCCTTGTGGGTGCTGGTTTGAGTCTTGGCTGCTCCACTTCCAATCCAGCTCCCTGCTAATGCACCTGGGAAAGCAGCAGAAGGTGGTCCAAGTGCTTGGGCCCTTGCACCAACTTGGGAGACCTGGATGAAGCTTCTGGGGACGTGAACCAGCAGATGGAAGATTTCTGTGTCTCTCCCTCTCTGTAACTCTTTCAGATAAATATATTTTTAAAAAGTAGTAGTCAAGAATGTCAATTAGCATCTAGGTAATTGTACTGATTGGAAATTCTTTATTAGATGTCCCTCTTTCTATTTTTTTATTTTAAAGATTAATTTATTAAAAGACTTGCAGACACACACACACACACACACACACACACAGATCTTCCATCCACTGGTGACTCCTCAAATGGCTGCAACAGCCATGGCTGTGCCAGGCTGAAGCCAGGAGCCTGGAGCTCCATCTGGGTCTCCCCCGTGGGTGCGGGGCCCTCTTCTGCTTCCTTCCGTGCTGTTCCACTTCCAAGGTGCATTAGCGGGGAGCCGGATCTGCAGTGGAGCGCTGGGACTGGAAGTGGCACTCAGGGGAAGGCTGCCGCTAACCTGCTGCGCCCCAAGACGTCTCTTGGTATCTCAGTGTTATGGCCAAGTCTCTTTTCTGTAAAGCAGAAAAAAATTCTTGTGACTGTACGCCTCTCATCTAGGTCAGTCTTTTGGGTGCGTTCACAGAGGTAAACTCGTAATTAGGCCCTCGGCTCCGGGCTTTTGTCTTCTCAGCGTGTGAGTGAGCCAGTGCACAGGCGACTTTGATCTCTCCCTTGCTGAGCCACGACTCTTTCCTTTTCTCCCTGTTTAAACCAGTAAAGTTTTTCAGGTTCTGCACTGTCACTCCTTTTGGCTGTAAAATATGAAAGGGTTTTTTATCGTACTTTCTATTTCAAATTCCTTTAGAATCTTTACAAATTAGGTTCATAAGCGGTTTGCTCACATTCTGAATACACAGACTCTTCCTTCTAAAATAACATCTCCACCTTCATCCTTCGGCTTCCGTAAAGAATTGCTTCTTTTACAGCAATCATCAGACGTACCAACAACCCTGTCAGCTCTAAATTGGGCCTGGGGATTAAAAATAAAAATTCATGGCACTGCTGAGCAAAGCGTTTTTAGTAACTTTCAGAAAAACGTAGGAACTTTGTTGAAAGTGGAGCAGGTGGTTTGGGTGTGGATATTTATAGCAGATGCCGGTGTCGCTGCGTGCTGACGGGTACGGCGGGTGTGATGCCCCTCCCTGGGTGTCTGACCGACGCCCCACCCTGGAGGAGCCGGTCCCCACGTCTGCTTTCCTCACCTCTCCCAAGTCTTCCTTCCCAGGGTGCTGCGTCGGCATTGTTGCGAATGTTTGGCTGTTTCCATGGTGGTTTTTACTGCATGTGGGGTTTGCATGTGTGTGTTCTGTGTGCTGTCCAGGGCCCTGGGCCCTGGCCGCAGCACTGCTCCTGGGCTTCGGCCATGCCAGGGCAGCGTGGGCTCTGCACTGTCTTGGCTTTGCTGCCACCTGCATTTGAGTCAGTAACTTGTGCGTGCTTTTCGGTAACTTCTCTGTCCTCTAAACCTCAGTGTTCACAGTAAAATCAACTTGTGGAATTTCAAGCCCCCCCCCCCCTTTTTTTTAAATGCTGGGACGCCATCACAGTTGTCTGTGCGTGGATGGAGGACTTTGGGTTAAGTCCTCTTGGGTGTCTTTGGGCTTGCAGGCTTCTGCTCCTGGGAGTCAGACTGCTGCTCCATATTCCAGCTCGCTCAGAGTCGGGGAGCCCTGCCGGTGCCTGCTCCAGTTGGACTTTCTGTGTTGAAGGTTGGTGGGAGGTGGAAACGCACCCTGAGTGTGCTTCCTGCTGGGGACTGGCGGTTGCCCACCTTTCGTGTCCTGGTTCTGCCCGTGAATCCCTACCCAGACCCCTTTGCTTCCTGACCCGACCCGTGGGGTGGGTGTGTCTTCCTGACTGTGCCCCGCGGCCGACCCTCCCCCTTGCCTGCTGCCCTTCCTGGCTATGACCTGTCTTGTACCCAGGACTCCCTGAGGACCTCCTGTTCCTGACCCCACCCATGAGCGTCACGTGTACTGAGAGCATTCACTTCAGCAGCATGAACTTTTTCTAATTTTTTATTAAGATTTATTTATTTATTTGAAAGGCAGAGTGAGAAAGAGAATCTTCCGTTGTCTGTTTCATTCCCTAGTGGTCATAACTGTAGGAGCTGGACCAGACAGGAGCCAGGAACCTGGAGCTCCATCCAGGTCTCCCCCGTGGGTGCAGGGGCCCAAGCATTTGGGCCATCCCCCACTGCTTTCCTGGGTACATCATCAGGGAGCTGGCTTGGAAGTGGAACAGCATATGGGAAGCCAGCATCTTGGGCGACCCCTGCCCCTGCAGTGTGAATTTTTAATCCATGAAATTGTAGGTCTTAACGTATATTAACGTATATTGGTGTTCAGAAACACTAAACCATAGCTCTACATTCTTTTTTGGGGGGGGGGGACAGGCAGAGTTAGAGAAAGGTCTTCCTTCCGTTGGTTTACCCCCCCAAATGGCTGCCATAGTCAGTGCCATGCTGATCCGAAGGCAGGAGCCAGGAGCTTCTTCTGGGTCTCCCATGCAGGTGCAGGGGCCCAAGCACTTGGGCCATCCTCCACTGCCTTCCCAGGCCACAGCAGAGAGCTGGCCTGGAAGAGGAGCAATCGGGACTAGAACCTGGTGCCCATATGGGGTGCTGGCGCCGCAGGCGGAGGATTAACCAAGTGAGCCACGGCGCCGCCGGCCCCAGCTCTACATTCTTGCGTTGTCTGTTTTTAAACATTGTAGCATAGGTTCTGTAGCACTGTTACTATTTTTATTTTCTTTCCCTCAAAAGAATCCCCTTCTGCAGAGGACCAGTCAGTGGCGTGGGCCGCAGGCACAGCAAAGCACGGACTGCAGTGGATATCCTGGCAGATGATGACATGTCTGTGCTGTGCTAGCTGCTTGCCTGTGCGCTGTGGGCCAGGTCTCTGTGAGCTGGGTGTTGCCGCGCCTGAGTCAGGGTGAGCACGGTCACTGCTGCCTGCCCAGGATGTGGCGGACAGCCGAGTCTGGCTCCCACGTCCGCTCCTTCTACACTTGCGATACTAAATGTGCTGTGTTCCGTGTTTGCATTCCGCTTCCTATTTCTTTATCATCGACTCTAAGCATCGGTGTTCGGTGTGCATGAGAATAGCTCCAGCTCTCAGAAACCTGTTGGGTCCACAGAGGACTGGACTCGCCGTGCTTGCAATGTGATCATAGACGTGGACTTTTGGGAGGACCGTGGTAGATGCTGTCTAGGACCTGAGGCCAGGGGTGCTCAAGTAGGCGGCTTTTACTTTTGATCTGGAAGCGCTGGTGGGAGGTGAACTCGAAAGGCCACATGGTCCTGGATAAGCAGCCAGGTCACAGCGACGTGAAGATGCGTGGGATCCTGTGTCCGAATGATCTCATGTATCCAGAGTTTGATGTGCAGAAGGGGATGAGACAGACAATGGAGCTTCGACAGGTTCTTGTTGTCAATGGATCCAAATATGTGTAAGAAGGGGCCATGATGCAGACCGATGCTGCTTTCACCGTGGAATCCCTGGAAAATGGATTTGAGAAGAGGAGGACTAAAGGGAGGGCGTCTAGGGAGGAAATGAGGATGAGGTCGTGGCCTCCAGCCGTGGCGGTGGAGACAGGAAGGGCTAATCTTGGAGAGTGTAGGAGGCAGAAGCTGTGGATGCTGGTCCTAATCAACGTGTGATTTTTCTGTGATTGGGATGTTAAAATGGCCCATGGCAATTTCATTGGAATGGAGGGCTCATATACGGCTTCTGGGGGCTAAGGCAAAAACAGGAGGTGGAAGACCTGAAGCCCGGCGGGCTGGGCTGGACTGCGGCGCCGGCATCCTGTGTGAGTGCTGGTTCAAGTCCCTGCTGCTCCACTTCCGATCCAGGTCCCTGCTAATGAACGTGGGAAAGCAATGGAAGATGATCCAGGTGCACGTGGGAGGGGCGACCTAGTTGGACTTCCAGGCTTCTGGCTTCTGCCTGACTCAGCCCTGGATTCTGGCTACTTGGGGGGTGAACCAGCACGTGGAAGATCTCTCTGTCTCTGTCTCTGTCTCTCTCCCCCTCTCTCTGTCACTCTGACTTTGCAAATAACTAACCAAAAAGAAAACACAAGGAGGCATTTTTTAAATTTTTTTTTATTTTTATTTTTGACAGGCAGAGTGGACAGTGAGAGAGAGAGACAGAGGGAAAGGTCTTCCTTTGCCATTGGTTCACCCTTCAATGGCCGCTGCGGCCGGCGCGCTACAACTAACGCACCGCGGTGATCCGAAGCCAGGAGCCAGGTGCTTCTCCTGGTCTCCCATGGGGTGCAGGGCCCAAGCACTTGGGCCATCCTCCACTGCACTCCCTGGCCACAGCAGAGAGCTGGCCTGGAAGAGGGGCAACGGGGACAGAATCTGACGCCCTGACCGGGACTAGAACCCGGTATGCCAGTGCCGCAAGGCGGAGGATTAGCCTAGTGAGCCGTGGCGCCGGCCTGCATTTTCTTTTTTTTAAATGATGGGGGAGGCAGTAGCTCTGTTGCTTGCTGATGAGAAGGGCTTTGCTCGTCTGAGAAGGCTGTTTGCTCGAAATCTGGAGTTCAAGGGAACCTTGATTACTTGCATTAATAAGCCAAATCTCATCATGCTTCATATTTGATTAGTTCCTTCTGGAGTCTCTCAAAGACCTTTCTGGTTTCCACTGACCAAAATGGTTTTGTGTTACTGGAATACGTCTCGCTGTACATTTCTTCCTGCAGGTCTTTATGAACGTATTAAGTAGCACCGGGCTTGGTTGCTATCCCTGGGGATTTTGATATTAACATCTCTGCTCGTGCTAAGCAGCGTTTCATGTGCGTTTGTTCAGAACGCTGTGGCTGGAGTTGTGGCCTTCGCGTGGAACTCTGAGTGCCGAGATGATGGAGCTGGCGGCCTTCGGTTTTTAGCTTCTTCTCTTACTTCCCTGTTTCTGTGCTTAAATAAGATGTTAATGTGTGAATCATCATACTTTATGGCATCTATCCCTTGCAAGTGTGGAAATATTTCTGACCATCAAATTAAATGGGACATTAAGGGTTAATCTCCAGACTGTGGTGAGCTGCTCTTGGCTGGAGTAATATTGCTCAGGGACTTCCTGTGAGTAAGAAGATAAAAATTGGACCAGAGTTTCATGGTTTCTTTTCAGTTCCCCCTGCGATGATAAATTTGCCAGGTTGTTAATATTTGAACTTTAATAACGGCTCTGTGAGCTGGAAAACACCGCTGATTCTGCGCTGCTCTGGAAAACCTCAGTCATTGTTACAGAATGTAACGAAACTTCTTGTAACTACAGCTCTCATAAAAGCAATTTTGAACATAGTAAAAACCGTGGCTGGCTTTTTCATTTTTTTAATGCCCCCAGATTCAGTTACTTGGGTGCTCGTGATGTCTGAATCTTTGTGCTGTGCTGTTTGGTCAATAATAATTATAAAAACTAAGATTTCTTTAAAAATTTTTAAAATGCTTTTTATTTTAGTTGGCAGCGTTTGTGGTAGATTTCCTGCGTGTAGCATGTTGCTCTGAAATGCATACGGATTGTGTGATGGCTAGATTGACCTGGTTACCATATGCATTGATTCACTCGCTTCCCATTTTTGCGGGATGAGAACACACACAGTTTCTTCTCTGACAGCTGTTACTATTGCCGTCCGTTGTTGGGGTCTGGGGTCGTCCTGTTGCCTAGGGGCTCTGCAGGTCGTGCTTCTCCTGTCTGACTGAAACGACCTGTGCTTTGACCACAACCCCGCCCTGGCCCCAGTTTTGCTCTTGAACTTCTGTGACTGGTCTTTGTGAGCTCCCACTCGTGCCGTGTTTGCCGCTCCGTGTCTGCTTCCTTAACACAGTGCCCTGCAGGTTCAGCCGCGGGGTCACCCATGGCACCTTTCCTCCTTCTGTGTGGTCGAAGAGTGTCCTTTTGTGTGCATCTGCCACTTTTCCTTATCCACTCACTCCTTTTTCTTTTTTTTTTCCAGGCAGAGTTAGTGAGAGAGAGACAGAAAGGTCTTCCTTCCTTTGGTTCACCCCCCAAATGGCTGCTACGGCTGGCGTGTTGTGGCTGGCATGCTGCGCCAATCCGAAGCCAGGAGCCAGGTGCTTCTCCTGGTCTCCCATGTGGGTACAGGGCCCAAGCACTTGGGCCATCCTCCACTGCCCTCCCGGGCCACAGCAGAGAGCTGGCCTGGAAGAGGGGCAACCGGGACAGAATCCGGCGCCCCAATCGGGACTAGAACCCGGTGTGCTGGCGCTGCAGGCGGAGGATTAGCCTAGTGAGCCGCGGTGCCGGCCTATCCACTCATTCCTAAGTGGACATTTAACTTGATTCCCTATCTGTTCATTTAAATATTTATTTACTTGAAAAAGAGAGGAGAAGAGAGGGAAAGGGAGAAATCTGTCTTCCACCTGCTGGTTCACTCTCATGGGCCCACAACAGCCAGGGCTGGGCCAGGAACTGCATCCGAGTCTCCCGTTTGAGTGGCATGGACTCAGGTCCTTGGCCCACCCAGGCACATTAATAAGAAGCCAAAGCACAGAGCAACTGGGACGTGAACCAGGCACTCTGATTCGGGATGAAGTGAAGCACGTGCTAGCTCCCCCTGCTGCTCCCAGGTGCCTGCCCCTGACCCCTGACCCCTGACCTCAGCATATTGTGAGTGCCGCTGTGACAGATGGTTGTGGGAGTGCAGACAGCTGTTTGACATGGCGGTTTCCCCTGAGCGATGGACAGCTAGTGTTGGGATTGCTGGAACTGTTTGTTGAATTTTACTCCGCTTGGTCCTTTCTGTCATCCTCCAATAGATACTTGACCCCTCACCATCCTTTGAAGAGTCTGTGAGTAGATTCCATAATTATCACACCCATTTCTTCTGGATGGGGTCGTTGGATCTGCTGCAGGGCTCCGAGTGTGTTCCCCGCGGCCGCACGTGGCGTCGCCCTAACTCTGAAGCCCTGGCTGTTGTGTCCGATGCAGTGGCTCTGTGGATGAGAAGCCGGGTGGGCTTGGCGTCCCTGGTGTGCTCTGCGGAGGCCGTCCTTTGAGGCCTGGGCTGCTCGCACCTGGGCTTGTGGCTCTGGTTCTCTGCTGGTTCCCATGCTGCCAGCTGCCCGCCTGTGCGGTCCCCGTTCTCTGGCCTTACCTACCTGCGTTTACTTACGCATTGCGACAACTGCATTTTCACTTATTTTCGTTCCCTGCCTGTGACAGTGGTTTCAGGAGGGCAGAGGCCTCTGCGACGCCCCTGGGACACTGTGGCACATCCCCTCGAGTTAGAGAGTGAGTGGGTAGAAGGGTGAGAACGCCCTGCACTCTTAGATGGGACTCGCTGGTTTATGGGCTCGCTGCTGGGAAGAGGGTTCCTGGCTGTTACCAGATTTTCAGTCCATCAGACCCGGCCCCGCGTTCACGCCACAGGGTGGTGACCGTATGCCTTCACGTTGAATCCACAGAAAGGCAGGTGCTGTCTGTGGCGTATGAGTCACAGAAACTGATGCTGTCACGAACCGGTGCAAACTCGTGGAGTTCCAACTTTTGGCTCCTTTTGGAAAGATAAACCGAGTTTTGCATTTTAGAATTGCAGATTGAAGGTGATCAGAATTCCTGCCGGATATGTGAGCAGGTGTCCACATTTGAATGTTGCTGCCTGAGACGACAGGCCACGCTACAGACTTCATGCTACATAAACGTCTCCAACATTCGTGAGAATTGGCCGCTGTAGCTCAAGCCTTCTTTCTGTGCGCACATGATGTGTCTCAGTTCAAGGCCACAGAAACTACTGCTCATGCCTGGTACAGGAAACACCAGCATGGGCTCTGAGGGTCCACGTGCACAGATAGAGGCCTCCTGTCTGCAGTCGTGTTAGTAATGGTCCACAGTGCCCAAGGAAGCAGTGGAAGGAGCGTGCGTGTGGACGCAGCCGTGCGTGATGCTGCTGATCCCCGACTCGCTTGGTCCTCGGCTTTGTCACGGGTCACCCCTTCGTCTTGTCCAGCTGTCTCCCCCGGGGGACTTGAATCATACACATGTGGATTAAAGTTTCCCTCCAGTACCTGGGTTGGATGCAACCCTTCCTGATAAAAACTCCCTTGACCGCTCTCCAAGCCCATGGTGGCAGACTGCCTCTCCGTGGCTCGGCACCCTCACCAGCGCCCGTGGGAGTGCGCTCGGAGTGGCTCAGGGTCTCGCTGTGGGTTAGCAGGATGCAGTTGTGTGGCATCAGCTGCTTGCGTCAGTGAGACGCACTCGTGTCCTGCAGGTCGGAGTGGAACCAATCCTTTCTGGACGTGGATCCGGTGTACCTGCCTGTGCTGGGAAGGTCCTGTGGCTGTGGCACATGGGCGAGAATGCTGACTGCGGGGGCACGGCGACGTCAGTTACTTCCTGTTTGTACTGTGGCTCTTGACGGTTAAGGCAGATGCACCATAGGTCCTGAAAGACCTGCAGGACACGTTGTTAGGGAAAAGAGGGGATGCTGGCACTGCAGGTGGACGCTTAGCCCAGTACGCACGGCACTGGCCCCATTTAAGTGTTTCTAACACAAGTTGGCACAGTTTTCTGGAGGCTTGTGATCATGCCTGCATAACCCATTAACTTCCACTTACTTCTCTCCAGTTATGGGTCGAGAGCTGAGGTCCAGCTTAGGTTCCCGTCAGGAACAAGGAGGATGGGTAGAGTGCAGGCTCTGCGGCAGCCTCCTCCCTGGCGTTTTCCTGTCTGGGAGAGTCTGACAGTTGATCCTTAAAGCTTTCTACTGTCAGAGTTCAGGGAGTGTGCGCTCAGCACAGCCGTCGCCATGCCCCACATCTCGGTCGCCACGCCCCACAGCGCGGTACCTGGGTTCAGCTCCTCACTCGTGACTCCAGCTTCCTGCTGCTGCACACCCAGGGAGACGCCAGTGATTGGGCTCCTGCCATCCTCGTGGGAGAGCAGGGTCGAGTTAGGGACTAAATGAAACTCACGGGGAAATAGAATCACGACAGAAGTTTATTTTGGTGTAAAAACATTTGAAGTCTGTGCGTGGTTTTCTCATGACACACTTTACGCGAGACTGTTGAAGGTCCTTCCTAGAGTGCCTGGTGCATCGTGAAGGTTTGTCCTGTATTTTCCCTCTCCATAAACATTATTCTCAGAGATAATTGCTTCATGGAAAGTTGTCTTCGTATTTAACTGAAATATTTATAAGGTAAAATAGAAGCGCTTTCCCTGAGCTACGTGCTTAGCAGGTGCAATGTGTTTAGTGCTGACGAGCGTCTCAGGGCCCAGGCTGCCCGGCTGGTGTGGAGAGTGCAGGTGGACAGGCCCTGCCTGCACTCCCGGCTGGGTCCTCTCCCTGGTCCCACAGAGGCGTCACGTGGGGAGCAAAGCACTGCTGAGTCGGATCCTTCCTAGCTCACATTTTACGAGATTTAAGTTGCTGTCTGCTATTGGAGTGGGCTGATGCTCTGTAAATTCATTGACAGTCACTCCTCTGTTGGTTCACACAACGCAGCACCTGACACTTGTATGAATGGCCCTGTTAGGATATAAAACAGGGGGCTGGTGTTGTGGCATAATGGATTACGCATCTCGTCTATTTCCAATCCAGCTCCCTGCTGGTGCACCTGGGAAAGCAGTGGGAGATGGCCCAAGTGCCTGGGCCCCTGCACCCACATGGGAGATCCTGGCTTCAGCCTGGGCTAGACTTGGCTGTTGTGGTCATTTGGGGAATGAACTGTCTCATCGAAGATAGCTTTCTGTCTCTCTGTCTCTCTGTCTGTCTCTTTCTCTCTTTCTCTTTCTTCCTCTCTCTTTCTCTTTGTTTCTAAATTTATTTTATTCATTTGAAAGGCAAACACACAAACAAAGAAGGATATAAAATAAAATCTGGCAGTCACTGACTAGCTCAGGGAGAGCACTGGAAAGTGTCACTCCTTTAAGTTGCGGGTTTTCCTCATTCCTTGGTTTTCTAAGCACTCTCTCTCTTTCTTTCATTGATCCCATAGCCAGCTCCTCCTCCCGAGAGCTGGGTGTGCTGTCTCCGCAGCTCCCTGTGCCCAAGCCTGAGTCCTTGCCTTGAGATTGGTCTGGGTGGGAATGCTGGTGTCACAGGGAGTGCGCCAGGAGGGTATTTTCTCGTGGCGGGGGTGCGGGGGGTCCACGGGGTCTGATCAGCATGCCTGGTGGTAGGCCAGCTTCATCCCCATCCCTGGGAGTTGTGGGCTGGCCACAGTTGCATGATTGACTTTGGTTTTTCACCTGTGTGGTCCGAGTTCCGGTTACTGCAGGTGCCTGTGTCTCTGTGGTCTGCCTGTCTTGCTGGCTGCCCTGAGCCCGTCCTGGGGTCCCTGGAGGGCTGAGAGGGGCAGGGGTGCTTCGGTTGAGTCTTCTTCCCACGAGAAATGTTTCTTCGTGGTCTTGGTGGTGCTGCCCTCTAGAAACCCTGGGAACTTGCCTGGAGGTTGTGAGTGTGAGTGACCCATCCAGGGGCCGGCCTTGTGGCGCAGTGGGGGTTAAGCTGCTGCTTGCGACTCCAGCGTCCTGTATAAGCTCTGGTCCATGTGCTGGCTGCTCCACTTCCAATCCAGCTCCCTCCCTGCTAACACGTCTGGGAAAGCAGTGGATGATGGCCCAAGTGCTTGGGCTCCTGCCACCCACATAGGAGATCCAAATGGGGTTCCAGGCTGCTGGCCTCAGCCTGGTCCAGCCCTGGCCGTTGTGGCCATTTGAGGAATGAACCAGCAGATGGATAAAAGAGCCTCCCCGGCAAGCCCCAGCTCTCTGCCTTTCAAAAAAAATAAACCTTTAAAAGAAAGCACAGAAACTGACCTTTGCACACCCTTCCTCCTGTCTGGGGCAGGGCAGGGCTCGCTGCCCTCTGTGTGTGTCTTAGGGCTGAGTCCTCAGGGGCATTGCCCTGTCCTGCATGTGCCCTCCCTGGCCTGTGGGCAACTACCAGCACTCTGGTTTTTTTTTTTTTTTTTTTTTATAGATTTATTTACTTGCAAGGCAGAGTTAAAATGAGAGAGAAAAAGAGAGCCATCTTCATCTGCTGGTTCACTCCGCAAATGGCCGCAATGGTAAGGGCTGGGCGAGGCCCAAGCCGGGAACCAGGAATTCCGTCTGGGTCTCCCAGGTGGGTGCAGGGGCCCAAGCACTTGGGCCGTCTGCAGCTGCTTTCCCAGGTGCAGTAGCAGGGGCCTGGGTCAGAAGTGGAGCAGCCGGGATTCAAGCCGGCATCCACGTGGGATGCTGGTGTCACAGGCAGCGGCTTGACCAGCCGTGCCGCAGCTCCAGCCGGGGCTCTTTGTCTCAAATGCGGTTCGTGCCTCCGCGGCGCTTCTGTTGTTAGAGGGAATGAGGTGTGTCCCTGGCGTCTCCTTAAACTGCAGACTCTGGACCCGCCTTCTCTGACCTCTGCAGTGGGGTTCCTGGGCCCACCCCTTCTCCCACTGTACCGTAGCCCCCGCCTCCCCTGTCCACTCCAGTTCTAGAAGCAGCGCTGGCCAGGGGAGTTACTGTAGAAGCTGCCTAGTGGCGGCCTGCGCCGCAGCTCACTAGGCTAATCCTCCACCTTGCGGCGCCGGCACACCGGGTTCTAGTCCCGGTCAGGGTGCTGAATTCTGTCCCGGTTGCCCCTCTTCCAGGCCAGCTCTCTGCTGTGGCCCGGGAGTGCAGTGGAGGATGGCCCAAGTGCTTGGGCCCTGCACCCCATGGGAGACCAGGAGAAGCACCTGGCTCCTGCCATCAGATCAGCACGGTGCGCCGGCCGCAGCGTGCCGGCCGCGGCGGCCATTGGAGGGTGACCCAACAGCAAAAGGAAGACCTTTCTCTCTGTCTCTCTCTCACTGTCCACTCTGCCTGTCAAAAAAGAAAAAAAAAAAAAGCTGCCTCGTGGCAAGCTCGGGCCTCTGTACAGAGAAGTGTCTTTTTATTCAAAAGGTTTCTCAAGTACAGGAGGGAGCTGGGGCCCCGGCAGGGCGGACGTGAGTGAGGACGGCCGCTGCGTTCCCAGGGCCAGGCGCGAGGCCTCTGCATGGCTGCCTTCTCTCTGGCTCAGTGTGTTGGTCCTGCACATCCAGCCCCCTCCCACCCCCTCAGTGCAGTGAAAACACAGGTTCTGAGTTGTTCTAGGCACACTCTTACCATCTAATATCTCAAATTGTATTTTCACTTGCTCTCCGTTACAAAGTCTTTTTTTTTTTTAACCTGGCAGACATACTGCCTAATAATCTTTTTCCAGGAGAGAAAATTGTTCCACGTTTTCCTGTTCATCCTGGCCTGTTATTTGTAGAGCAAACAAGCGATCGACTTGGTCCTGTTTCATCCGAGCATATTAAGAGTAAATATTTCAGGAGGGAAGCTCTTCTGATGTCTGAGTATGACCTAAATAAATATTTCAAACCTTTATTTTTTTGTGAATGAGAGTAACATCTGCTGTGCCTTCCGCCTCTCACTTGGCTATATCTATGTTTGATTTAATCATTCTCCACTCGGAGTGGCCGTGAGTCTCCTCTCTGCAGGCACGGCACTCTGGTAAACATTGATAAGGAAACCTTTCATACAACATGAACTCGACGTTTCCGCAGCCCGTTTGCAAAACACGAATTCTGGATTTAATTATATCCCGAGGGACAAACCCGAGGAAACCAAAAGCACTAGCATAATTGGGCCAAATTGTGTAATCAAAAGCAAATGATGTGGTTATTAAGTCTAATGAAATGATTTCCCAGGATTTAATCCATTTCTCTGATTCAAGAAATTTTCATAATAAATGTGTGAAAGTGCACATTCTGTGCTGTCACCACTCCACGCAGCCTGCCCTTGACCACGGCTTTGGGTGTGTGCTTGGCCAGGGAGAGAAGTCGGGGCCAGCACTGTGGTGTGGCGGGTTAAGCCGCCACCTGCAACACTGGCATCCCATGTGAGCACTGGTTCGAGTCCCAGCTGCTCCACTTCTGATCCAGCTCCTTGCTAATGCACCGGGAAAGCAGCAGAGGACGTCCCACGTGCTTGGGGCCCTGCCACCCGTTAAGGAGGCCTGAATGGAGTTCCAGGCTCCTGGCTTCAGCAGACGTTGGGGGAAAGAACCAGCAGATGGAAGTTTTCTCTGTCTCTTCTCTCTCTCTCTCTAGCTGTGACTTCCACGTAAGTCAGTCTTTACGGAGGGCTTTGTTAAAGGAACTGGCACAGGGCAGGCCGCCAGCTCCCTGTGCAGCTGGGGCCCACGCTTAGGGGTCCAGGAGAGCAGATTGGTGTCTGGGCAGAACTTCCCCTCCTGCCTCTGGTAAAGGGTGCCGCCGTGCAGGAACTGGGCATGCAGCCCCTTCTCTCCTTCCTTACACCTGCGGCCCCTGGTTGTGTGGAACTGTGAATTTTTTTTTTTTTTTTTTGACAGGCAGAGTGGACAGTGAGAGAGAGAGACAGAGAGAAAGGTCTTCCTTTGCCGTTGGTTCACCCTCCAATGGCCGCCGCGGCCGGCGCGCTGCGGCCGGTGCACCGTGCTGATCCGATGGCAGGAGCCAGGAGCCAGGTGCTTTTCCTGGTCTCCCATGGGGTGCAGGACCCAAGCACCTGGGCCATCCTCCACTGCACCCCCGGGCCACAGCAGAGAGCTGGCCTGGAAGAGGGGCAACCGGGACAGAATCCGGCGCCCCAACCGGGACTAGAACCCGGTGTGCCGGCGCCGCAAGGCAGAGGATTAGCCTAGTGAGCCGCGGTGCCGGCCGGTACTGTGAATTTTGCGTCCTGATGGCTGTGTTATGATGAGGGTATGCAGGGCTGAGGGTCGGGTGGAGTCAGCCTGGAGCCAGGCTCTGGGTCTCCTCGCTGGCTTTGGACGTGTGTGGCTGGTCGGGGGCTAGACCAGGGTGAGACCCTCAGTATAGGTCTGTGAGTTCCCCTGGGTTCTGAGAGCAGCTGGGGTTGGGGAAGGACTTTGTTCCTCTCGGCACAGGGAGCAGATGGAGCGTCTGGGCGTTTGTTCGAGGTCCCAGGTGGACGCCTGCGCACTCTGGCATGGAGGCTGCAGGCAGCACTCCTGGCTGGCGTCTGTCTCTCTGAAGTTTGTTCTCCTCATCTGACTCACTACCCCAGGCAGCGTAGCAGTGTGTCCTCGGCTCATTATACACTTTTCTTGCGTTCAGATGGCGCGATTGCAACCCTGATGTATACATCTCTGATTTCCAGGACGGCGAAGCCGGATGTGCGTCGGTTGCAGTGCACGGCCCTGTCTGTCTGTCTTCTCTTTTCTGGGCTCTTGATTCTTAGCAAAATCATTTTCCAGAGACTATAGTACAATGATTTGTGTTAGAAAATCCCTTATCAAAACGTTGTAGGGTTTAAAGGGAAACAATAAAAAATAGCCTTTATCTTGCAAGGAGTTTTTATTAATTATTATTATTATTTATTTGAAAGGCAGAGTGACAGAGAAGGAGAGATTGTCCATCTGCTGGTTCACTCCCCGAATGGCCACAATGCCCAGGGCTAGGCCAGACCAAACCCAGGAACCTGGAGCTTCATCCAGGTCTCCCGTGTGGGTGCAGGAGCCCAGTTGCTGCTCCCCCACGTGCATTAGCCGGGAGTTGGATCAAAAGTGGAGCGGCCAAGACACGAACTAGCACCCATATGGGATGACAGCGCTGCAGGATTTAACTCCTTGTAAAAATACTTAAAGTTATAACGGCACATTGAAAAGCCACTTATTTGGGCTATAGCTGGGATGTAGCAGGTAAAGCTGTCACCTGTGTGCAATGCAGGCATCCCATGTGGGTGCCGGTTCCGGTCCTGGCTGCTCCACTTCCTATCCAGCGCCCTGCTGATGCACCTGGGATAAGCAGTGGACGATGGCTCACCTGCTTGGGCCCCCGCACCCACATGGGAGACCCAGATGAAGCTCCTGGCTTTCAGTGGAAGATTTCTCAGTCTCTTCCTCTCTCTCTGTAACTCAGAATTTCAAATAAATAAATCTGTTAAAAAAGACAAAGACAAAACTTGTTATCCTGCTGCCCAGAAATTTCCCCTGAAATACTTCCCGAGTTCATTATTTACCCGTTCCTCGTAAGGTTGTCAGAAGCATCTGCAGTCGTTCTGACTTTACATGCTCAGTCTAACCCTGCTTTCTGCCGTGCAGATGTGGTTCTGGCTTTCGCAGATCCTAGCCCTGGGCTCAGTGCCGAGCTCAGGTCTCCTTCAGCAAGTGCCGCACCTGCGAGCCCCTGGCGTGGCTGGGGCAGGGTCTGCAGAAGCGGGAGCCCCTTCTTGGTGCTGATTTCCATAGCATAGGAACGGCCAAGTCATTGTGAGGACGAAGTCAATAAAAGCATGGTGGAGCCTCACAGAGTTTGTGGAAGGGGAGTTTATTTTGGTGCAAAACAGTTTGAGATTGCACACAGGGAAAAGGCCCTGGTACCTGCCGGTGATGAAATTCACACCCAAATAGATGGATTTTCCATGCATTCTCCCTGTCTGTGATGTGTCCTAGATGCTGTCTCTGCTCTGCACTTGCACTTTTCTTATTCAGCACATCTCAGCGGGCTCCTGAGACAGGATAGTGGCTCCCTTTCAGAAGGTTCGGGAGCGAGGGGGTAGGGTGGACAGAGGCAGGACCCCCAGCTCTGTGGTCCTTCTAGGCTCTGGGCAGGCTGGGTGCATCCTCAGCGGTCAGCAAGCCTCACCCACGTGAGTGCCCTGTGTGTCGGGATCCCACTGTGTGTGTGGTGCTGGGACCCCGCTGCTTGTCTGGGCGAGAAGTGGCTCCGTCACATTAGGAAAGAGACACAGAACATACTTCAGTCATTGGCCCTGCCACAGGCTTTGTTTACTGGACCACTCTTCCCCTGCCGCACCCCTATTATCTGAGAGGCAGACAGAGAAATGCCCAGGATGACCAAGGCTGTTCCAGGTCAAAGCCAGAAGCTGGGAACTCCATCCAGGTCTCCCTGGTATGTTTTCGGTACATGCCAGAGTTTATCATTTCTGTTTTTTGTTGTTTATTTTTAAATTTATAAACTTTTTTTTTACCTGTTTAAGAAATGGTTTGCACTTCTCTTTAGTAAGAAAATATTTGCTTAATAGGTGTAAGAAGATCTTTATTTAAAAAATAAACTTATTCCTAAGCTCAGTAAATCCTATGTTACTTTAAAAAACTTACTTGTAAAGATTTATTTGAGGCAGCTGGCGCTGTGGTGCAGTGGGTTAAAGCCCTGGCCTTAAGCGCTGCCATCCCAAATGGGCACCAGTTCTAGTCCCGGCTGCTCCTCTTCCCATCCAGCTCTCTGCTAAGGCCTGGGAAAGCAGTACAAGATGGCCCAAGTATTTGGGCCCCTGCACCCGCATGGGAGACCAGGAAGGAGCTCCTGGCTCCTGGCTTTGGATCAGCACAGCTCTGGCTGTTTTGGCTGTCTGGGGAGTGAACCAGCAGATGGAAGACCTTTCTTTCTCTCTTTCTCTCTCTATCTCTACCTCTCTCTGTAACTCTGTAACTTTTTTTTTTTTTAAAGATAATGGTATCATTAGAAAGGCCAGGTTGGTCAGATTGAGTATCCGCACGTTTTAGCAGTCTGTGAGCGAGTGTGCTCTCAGCAATGTTCAGAGGAAACCCAGTGGCTATGACTCTTGCTGAAGCCAGACTGGTGAGTCTGATTAAAATTACGTCACCTAAATGGTGGTCCCTTGGCCGTCAGTGAGCGGAGGGGATTCTGGGTAAACAGGTGGTCCAGAGTGCGTGGAGTGGAGACAGCTGCCTGTGTTGCGGTGGACATGGGTGGGCTAGCTCTTGGGGTCAGTGATTCCTGGCGAGCATGAGTGGGTGTGTCGTCCCCTGGGCATCACTGGGCAAAGGCCAGATGGAAGAGAACTGGGCAAGCATCCCAGTGATACGGTTGGACACTGTGCTGGGCGAGTCCCAGTGAGGTCCCCGTGCCCTGCACTCCTGACCCGTGGGAAGGGCCTTGTGTTTCGGAGCTGCCTTGAGGTCCGTGAGCATGGAAGCGGTGCCCTTTCTTCTGTGTAGTTGACCCCTGTCACTCACCACCGCCTGCTTCTGTCCAGCGACTCTTCTTGCCTTGGGTGGGTGGAGTCACGTCGTGTGCGTCAAACGCAGCAAACAGCAGGTTCCTCTGGGAAATGCACATTCCATGGGCTGGTTCTGCCTGAGATGGGGACAGTAGGAATCCCCCCGTGGGGCTGGAGCTCGCGTGCCATAGTCGGCATCGCAGGCACTGAGCCTTCCGCACGGTGTTCTACATTGTTGGGGGGCGGGCTCTGTTCAGTAGAGCTCCGTGTATGTGACGACGAACTGGATTGCGTCTGAAAGTAAAAGTCGTATTTTTTATAGATTTATTGATTTGGAAGGCAGAGAGAGAGAGATCTTCCATATGCTTGTCCACCTCCCAGATGCCTGCAGCAGCCAGGGCTGGGCTGGGCTGAAGCCAGGAGCCACAGGCTCCATCAGGCCTTCCAGGTGGGTCTCCTGGGCCATCCTCGGATGCCTTCCCTGGCTCGTTAGCAGGAAGCTTGGTGGGAATCAGAGGGGTGCTCCGATTCTGCAGGCTGGCGTCCCCAGCGGGGACTTAACCTGCCGCATCACAGCACCGGCCCTCAGAGGGCTGTCGATCCTGCTCTACAGGAGCCCATCCTTATTCTCAGATATCTCCCTTGGGAGCGATACTGTCTGTTTTTTAGAGCACTTGGATGAGGATTTTTTCCTTTCTGGTTTTCACTCCAGGCTTGACATGGGGCTCCTGCGGTGACACTGTGTGTGTGTTTCCTGGGCTTGCGTCTTTGGCGGGTTGCTGTAGATAAATCACTCTTCCCTATGAAGCCCCGCCCCTAGATGGTTTCAGTTCTGTTGCTTGTGGCGTTAGAAACTACTTCTCCCTGGCGATTCGGCAAATTACTCACCTGGTCACAACTTTAACACAAGCGCCTTCTGGAATCTTCCTCCTGCTTCTCAGGGGCCTCGGCAACGCATCCCTCTGGAGTTGTTTGTCACCAAAGGCAATACGAAGGAAAAGTGGCTTGATTCATTCTGTCAATACCCAAGTACATATTTTCCTAGGCCGCGGTAACTCCTGATGGGCAGCGTGTCTGGTTAGGGTAGGAGAGACGTGGCAGTGCCCTCCAAAGGGTGAAAAGCCCTTTCACTTGAGTGTTTTCATAGCAATAAAAGTCAAACCAATGAAAATATTTTACTGCAAAGTATAATTATCAAATTAGGTGAGGAAAATACTGTAAACTTTCTTGTTTGCGAAGGCAGCAGAAGAGCTTTGTTTCCTACTTCTGCTTCCTAAACATGAAAGTCATTGGCGTGAAGGTAATCGGGGCAGTGTAACGTTGGTTTGTGTAACACACTTGTAAAATCACAACATACGGC